AAAAAGGAATGTCACAAAAGCCAACTGCTGCAAAATAAATGTCACAAAAGCCAACTGCTGAGAAATACGGTATTTGAAGGGTAGCAGAAAATGCCACCCCATAATATACCAATTTGACGTAAGGATTGTTTTGAGCTGAAGGCAATTAAAAGAAGCAGATATTTGCGTAAAAGCCCATAGCTTTTATAAAGTTATTCTGCCTCTGTTCTCTACCAGGAAGGACAGAAGTTAATTACCAGAGACTGCATGAAAGTATCCTACACAACAAACCTTACTTAATTAGCCCCTATCTTCCATTAGTTCCTACATATATTTATATTCCCACAATTTGCTGTCCTAGAAACTCAAAGTCCTTCTTCTTTTTGTTAAGATGCTATATAAATCCAAGTTGTAACCACTCTTTCATTTACTCACCCCTGAATATTCCCATGTGTATGCTTGGTTAATAAACTTCTGTTTGTTTTTATTTTGTTAATCTGCCTTGTCAATCTAATTAACAAGGTCCCAAACAGGAGAATCTAGAAGGATAGAGGGAAGAAGTTTTTTCCTCCCCTACAAGTTGGATCAAATGTGTCAGGTAGGATGAAGACTGAAAAGAGTCCATTGTATTTGGAAATAAAAAGGTCATTGGTGCCTTCTGTCTAAGCAGTTTCAATAGAGTGTGAGAACAGAAGCAAAATGGCTGCTTTCTGCTGGTGGAAAGATTCAGAAAATGGATACATTTGTTCATGTCCTTTTATCTTAAATCTGAATAATTGACAGTTTGTATCATATTCTGTTTCAAACCTTCAACCTTCTCAAACTAGTTATAACAAATTACATTTATTTCTGTATGACTCTTCATGGGTTTTCCCTTTCAGATCCCACCCTATTGGTCAATGGCCCACAAAGGATAAAAGGTTACATACCTTATGCTAAGGAAGAAAGCACATTATCTAGTGGAACTGTCACTATTTTCCATAACAGCCTCATCCTACCTACATTCATTTCCATTGTAACGTTTTAAAAAAACCCATCTCCATTAGCAAATTACTATTGTAGATAGAACCCACATTGTTATTGGCTTTTATAATATAATACTGCTGTGTAATATTAGAATATCTTATCCTAAATATTTACGACATAAGTTTTATGCATAATTGTTTTTCTTTAAGAAGTACTTTCAAATATATCTAGTTGTATGATTACACATTTTTAAAAGCCTGCAAGGCTTTGTTACTATTTCTTAGTGTTAACTGAAATGTTAACCTCATTATTTCTTAGTGTTGGGATTAGATGAGTATGTTTAATGGTCTTATTTTTATATAAAAATACTAAGAAGATATTTCTAAATTTTTAAAGTAAGAAATGTCAGATTTTAGTTTTAGTCTTCTTTTTCCCAGAGGTTGTTATATTTTGTCTATATATAACATCAAATTATAGTTTTTAAATTGAAGTTTGTAACTATGTAAATTTCAAACTCTTTACATCATCAAAGCAGGTTAATTGGCTTGGGTTAAGACTTCATCTGAGAATTCTTGATTTTAGTATAAATTTAAGGATTTGGAGAGTTTAAAATCTGAATTTTTGAAGGAGAATTGAGACTGTGAATATATCTCTAAACTTTGAAGTGTAGTCAGCTTCCAATTATCTGCATGTGCCAGATACCATCCCCTCCTAGGTGGGAATTTCTTAGTCCTGCTGGGAAATTGCCCTTGCCTGCATCCAGTAGAAAAGGGTTCCACCCATCTTGTTGGTTTTTAAAGCCACTTTGTCTCCCCACCCATGCAGATGGTGTGATTGCATATCACCTGTCTTTCAAATGCACTCCTCCTTAGAGGTTAGGAGATTAAGTTCTGAGTGACATTGGCATTCTAAAATTGGCTGTCATATCTGCAATTCAAATAGTACTTATTCTTTATGTAGAAATTAAAAGTATTTTAATAGCCAAATAAATTAGCTTAGTATTTTAGTAGCCCATGGTTATAATCATTTACTTAAAATTAATGAGGCACTGATTTCAAACAGTTGTCATTTTTCATTTAGATAGTTGTTTTTATGTTTTTCTTTATTATTACATGGAATTTATTAAACTTCACAGTGCAGCTATAAATCAGGGAGAGAGCAGAATCCTGGTGTAAATGAGGTAGCTTTCAGGAGACAGAACAGCCTGGGCTCAGATATGACTTTATGGTGGAATGCAAAGAGTTAGGTGAGAGCTTCTGAAAGGAGTGAAATCTAAACAGAGGTCAAAAACATGAGATGTTCAGGCTGGAAAAGGAGTTGCGAATTGAGAAGGAAGAGTGTCCAGGAGAAGAGAAAGCATATATGAAGGCATAGAGGCTAGAGAGAGTACACTTTGTTAGTGAAACTTGTTAAAAATAAACCATCACCACCACCACCATCACTAACTAAAGTCCTTTGATGCAAAGATGGAGCATGGCAAGAGGAGATTGTAGAGCGATTTAAGGATATACTAAAGGGTTTTAGGCAAGGTAGTGATCAACTTCATATTTTACAAGTATCACTGATATTGCAATCTGTGGAACAGATTGGTGGGGGCAAGATTTGATGCAGGCTGACTGATGATGAGACTTTTGCAATAATCCAAGTAAGAGATAATGGTGCCTTCATTAGTGTGTTATTGATGAGGAAAGAAGGAAAATGATGAGCTATTTCCAAGATAATTAATAGTTCTTAGAGATAGATTAGGTGGATGGAATAGGGAGAGGGAATAACTGAGGTTGACTCTCTTGTTTCTAGCTTGCCAACAGACAGGATGGTGATTCTTCCAAGGAGGATAAGGGATTTGGTTTTCTCCCCGTGACTCTCCTGAGGAGGATGGATTTATGATTTTTATCCCCATGAATGGATGAAGTGAGACAGGAGAAGGGAAGTTTGGAAAGAAGGGAATATTAACTTTGAGAAAGACCACTCATCAAGAAAATGTGGAGCCAGAAAGCCAAAGCTGCTTACTACCATGGGCTGTTTTTATAGTCCATGGTTGTAGCTTCTTGTAAGAAACCCATTTGTTTTACTTGTTATAATATCATTTTATCTTTATAACAGTATATAAATATTATTTTCTTCTTCCCATTTTGTAATATAGTGTTCTTCTCTCAGCGTTAGATCCGAAAGGAACCTTGGAAATGATAGTTCCTGTGAATAGGTGAGGAAATTGGAGCTCTGAGAGAAGACCACATGATATCTGTGGAGTGAGAGAAGTAGTAGAATCCAAGTCTCCTAAAGGCCACTTCATCCCTCTTTCCGTAGTACCTAGCCAGCTCCACATTGATTATTGCATTCCATTAAAACAAATAAATGAAGTTGAACTTTGTGGAAGAAAAACATCATTATCACAGAAGAAGGGAAAATTGCATAAATAAATATATTCTTTACTTAACACTTCTTTGCTAGTACAGAATGCTGTTTAAGGTAACCAGGGTTACAGAAATTCAGTCGCTTCTCAGTATTGCCTTTCCTATCCTTCCATTGACCTTCCACCCTGAAGAACTGGCAAGGGTTAAAACTCGGGTGGTCTGGACTTAGGCTTAGCTTTATCTCTAACAAATAGATGAACTTGTTCCACTTCTATAGATCTCTGTTTCTGTATCTCAGAAAATAAGATCCCTTTAAAATCCTTTCTATTTTCTCTCTGTATCGGTTTATATTTTCCATTACTGGTTGTCTTTACTTTCTTCCCTAAACTGCTTCTCCTTCTCCATGGCAAATAGAAACCTCTAAAAAACCTAAGTACCGTTAAGTCAGTGACCTGTAAGTCTAGGATGGTCCTGCTTATGGAGTGAGTAGAATAGGGCCAGATTTTGCTTTGTTCTGTTAGTAACATATCACCATATTTACTTTCCTTCTTTGAAAAACAGGCCTTGAAATCAGGAAGATAAGGCAAAAGACGAAGGTCCTAGAATCTGAAGTAGATGAGGGTTGGGTGTAGGGCAGGTATAGTGCTGTGGTCTTCCAAGTGGACAAAGGACACCCTAGGAGATGTAAATGATGATTCAGTGGTTTTGGAGAGAAAATATTAGAAGTTTTATTTGTTTTTATTTTTTTTAATGTTTTTTTTTAAGATGATGTTGGGGGTAGGAGTTTATTAATTAATTAATTTATTTTTGCTGTGTTGAGTCTTCGTTTCTGTGCAAGGGCTTTCTCTAGTTGTGGCAAGCGGGGGCCACTCTTCATCGCGGTGCGCGGGCCTCTCACTACCGTGGCCTCTCTTGTTGCGGAGCACAGGCTCCAGACGCACAGGCTCAGTAGTTGTGGCTCACCGGCCTAGTTGCTCCACGGCATGTGGGATCCTCCCAGACCAGGGCTTGAACCTGTGTCCCCTGCATTAGCAGGCAGATTCTCAACCACTGTGCCACCAGGGAAACCCCTGTTTTTATTTTTAATTTCTTTATTTTCACAATTCTGCTTTTGTGTATGTCAAATATATGACAAATCAATATAGTACATGCATATATTTACAAATGAATACATATATTCATTCATATCGTATGTTGTGTGATTATGCTTAAACATGTTAAGCTAACAGAAGGTTATGGTCAAATAAGTTTGGGAACCATTAGTGAAGAGTTTTCAAAAAAGGTGAGTCAAGGGTATCAAGATAAATACCATGTACTTAATTTCTCATTTTTGGATATCATCCTGTCTGGAAATAAAGAGAAGAAATCTAAAATAAAGATAACAACAAATAGCATTTTGGTAGTTTAATTTATTTAACTGAGTCTTTTATAGAGTTGAGGAAAGGTATTCACCCACAAAAATATTAAATTTTAAGATTAATTTTACTCTTGTTCATGATTTTTTGGGGGGGATTAAGTAACTCATATTGAAATTGACAGTATAATTTAACTTATTTAAACTTTTCAACTCAAGGAGTAAGTACTAGATTACATTAGTGATTTTAAAAGATTTGCTAGGAATTTCAAAATCCTACTTCTTCAGTTTTTTTCCATTTATTTTGTCTTATTGTATTTTATTTTTTCCTGATTTTTTTCTCACAGAATAAGACCACAGCTTGCCAAAGAAAGGATTGAAGGTTGCCATATTTGTACATCTGTCACACCGGGAGAACCTCAGGTCTTCCTAGGCAAAGATAAAGCTTTCACTTTTGATTATGTGTTTGACATTGACTCCCAGCAAGAGCAGATCTACACTCAGTGTATAGAAAAACTAATTGAAGGTTGTTTTGAAGGATATAATGCTACAGTTTTTGCTTATGGACAAGTAAGTACCAAATTATTTTCATAGAAGCTGTAACTTTTCAGAAGTGTCAATTCAATTGCACTTTCACTTCTGTCACTTGAGATTATGTTATTAAGATCAAGCATCCATTTTTCTCTGTTCTTTTATTCAGACTGGAGCTGGCAAAACATACACAATGGGAACAGGATTTGATGTTAACATCATTGAGGAAGAACAGGGTATTATTTCTCGTGCTGTTAAACACCTTTTCAAGAGTATTGAAGAAAAAAAACACACTTCCATTAAAAATGGACTTCCTCCTCCAGATTTTAAAGTGAATGCCCAATTCTTAGAGGTAATAGTCTAGTTGTGTCATTAGTTTCCTTTAAATCTTATTCTTAAAACAATAGCCCTATGATTTTATACTCCCACTTCCATTTTAGTGCTTGGCATATAGTGTTCAGTAAATGTTGACTAAATTAGCATTAGGTTATAGGCGATAGCAAGAAGAGATAATAGGTTATAAGTATTCCTTACTTGTTGGCATTTAAGATTATAAACATTTGACCAGTGTCCACAGAGTAAAACAATTAATATTGTTTATTTCAGATTTTTACTTTATCTGAGAATTACTGTTGTAATGTAGGCAGGCTCATAAAGTACTGGGAACACAGTGACTGAGACCAAAAGGGAGGGGGAGATTGTGAGGAATAATAGGATTGATGCTGTAGCACTAATCTGGTGGCAGAAGCTGGTATTCCTACAAGGAATTCCTACATTTTTTGATGCAATGTGCAAAGGTTGGGGCAGGTATGGATTTAGGGCAGTCTAGGCTGGTGGTAGGGACATACCAGTAAGAGGACATCTAGGATTTGAGCAATGTTACACTTGGGTGGACAGTGCCATTATAATTCTGTATACTTGGTCCAAAGAGTGTTCTAGTCTAATTGTAATCTCGATCACCAGAGCTAATCATTTTGATAATCGATGAAACATTTTATTCAGCATTATATAGCACAAAATAGAAAACTTAATTCAAATTAACATCAGTTATCTTACTGCTGGTTTTAATGGACATTCCAATTTAGTAAAAACCAAGAATATAATTATGTGTTTCTACCAAAAGAAAGGTAACTAGTGATGGAAAAAGGAAAGAAACAGTGTCTTCAGTCTTCCCCTTCTCCCTCCAAATGTTATTAGGCATTGTGACTTTAAGCATATTGATAGAAAAATAGTTGTATGTATCCTCTTCTAAGGTGGTAGCACAATCTTGTCAGCCTCTATTGATACAGAAACTATATTGCTGACCTTGCAAAAATACTATTTATTTTTAGGTACACTAAGAAGGGTCGTAGGGCAAAAGAAAAAATATTTTTAGTTCAAGTAGTAAAAATTATTAAGAACTTCCCTAAGCTTAGTATTTATTTACATTTGATACATATTTTTTAGTATTTGCTTCTATTTATATTTATCTCTTGCAAAGGATTAGTGGATGATTTTAGCTAGTCTTTAACTCATTAGTCGTGATTAGGTCTTTTACTGTTCTTACTCTTGTAAAGAAATCTGGTATTTGTTTGTATTTGTGATCATTTTTATGTTTTATTTTGAAGAAATATATGTATTTGGAAGAACTTTTAAGATATGTTTGAAAGATAACATGCAATATGTGTTATTACATCCATGAGGCAATTTCTGCTAACATTAAACTTATAATATTTCTTTTTGTTAGCTGTATAACGAAGAGGTTCTTGACTTATTTGATACCACTCGTGATATTGATGCAAAAAATAAAAAATCAAATATAAGGATTCATGAAGATTCAGCTGGAGGAATTTATACCGTGGGCGTCACAACACGTACAGTGATTACAGAATCCGAGGTGACATTTATGTTGTAGTTAAAATAGAGCGTGTTTGGGGAATTCCCTAGTGGTCCAAGGGTTAGGGCTCCACACTTCCACTGCAGGGGGCATGGGTTCCATCCCTTGTTGGGGAACTAAGATCCCGCAAGCCGCGCGGCATGGCCACAGGAAAAAAAATACAGCATGTTTGGCTTTATTTAATAGTCAGCTCTGCTGCTCATGATATGAAATTTGTATCCTTGAGTGTAACATGGAGTTAAAATCTTCTTGATTTTTTTCCAGGATTTTATTATTAAAAATGTAACAGTTATGATAAAGTCAGTGCATTTATTGTAACATCAAAAGAATTTAAGGCATTGTATGTACAGTTTTCTTTCACACCTAGAAAAAGAGGGTTAGATAATTTTAAGTGAAGGATGAGGCCACAGTCCTTTTGTACTTTTTGCTGTAACATACGTAGGCCTGTATCATGGCTCCTAAAGAGAGACTTAAGAAAAGTTACAATGGGGAGTTCCCTGCGAGGCCAGTGGTTAGGCCTCCACACTTTCACTGCCATGGCGCTGGGTTCAATCCCTGGTCAGGGAACAAAGATCCGCAAGCCACGTGGAGTGGCCAAAAAAAAAAAAAAGTTACAGGGCTTCCCTGGTGGCGCAGTAGTTGAGGGTCCGCCTGCCGATGCAGGGGACGCGGGTTCGTTCCCCGGTTCGGGAGGATCCCACATGCCGCGGAGCTGCTGGGCCCGTGAGCCATGGCCGCTGGGCCTGCGCGTCCGGAGCCTGTGCCCCGCAGCGGGAGGGGCCACAGCAGTGAGAGGCCTGCGTACCGCAAAAAAAAGAAAAGTTACAAAAAATAAGATACAGAAGAGCCTGAGTAATTCCAGTTATTGCTTAGTTTGTTCCGAAGTGTTCTACTGTAATAGTTTTGAAATAGAAGCTGCAAATGTCAGCAAATGGCAAAAGGTTGAATCTCAGTATTTTCTCCTATAAAAAAAACAAAACAAAACTATTATACTGAGAAATTCAGCTCAAAAAGTGCCTGTAAATAAAATAATAAGAAAATCTATCTTTCACATCCTTTCATATGGTGGATTTTAACCAGTAACTTAGATTTCTGATTATATGGACCCAGTCTAAGTATTGTTCAAGTAAAACCCCTCTTTCTTTCCCTTTTCTAGATGATGCAGTGTTTGAAGCTGGGTGCTTTATCCCGGACCACTGCTAGTACCCAAATGAATGTTCAGAGCTCTCGTTCACATGCCATTTTTACCATTCACTTGTGTCAAACCAGAATGTGTCCCCAAATAGATGCTGTGAGTTATTGGTTCTAATTTTTTAAGCTTTCATATTTCATTTCTGTAAAATCCGTGAAAATATTCAAAGAGAACATTTGTATCAAATTTAGTTTGTTTAATCATTCCTTTTCCAGTTAAGATGTCCCTGATCTTGTTTAAGCTAAAGCTGGCCAACCATGTAAAATTAAAAATTGAATATATATGTCTGCAATAGCCAGAAAGTATGTTGTGGCCATATGGTAATGGATGTCATTACTTGGGACCCTTTGCTTTTGAGGGCTATATGCTACAAGTTTCTCTTCAACACAGGCAAAGCCTCAGTTGATAACAGTTAGGTTTTGACCTTCTTTGACCTAACTTTGTCTAAGCTTCTAATTGCAGCAGCCATTTTTGTACTTATATTTATTTGGCTACATGCCTATACTTGGCTATATGTACACTGAGGGCAAGGTGAGATTGAAGGATATTTAGTGTCACATTAATAAAATATTTTCAATTATCTTCCTCAATTGCAGGAAAGTGCAACTGATAATAAGGTGATTTCTGAATCATCACAGATGAATGAATTTGAAACTCTGACTGCAAAGTTCCATTTTGTTGATCTGGCAGGATCAGAAAGACTGAAGCGTACTGGAGCTACAGGCGAGAGGGCAAAAGAAGGCATTTCCATCAACTGTGGACTTGTAAGACTAAGGCTTTGTGCTGAGAATATAACAGGCCTATTTTATTGTCCTTTTCCCTTTTGTAATACATAATACCCAAGTGGAAATCCTTCATGCATTGAGCTGAGAAATGAAAGTTGCTGTAAACTTAGGAGTAATGCATTGAATTTTGATCTCCTCAGACTGTCAGCTTTTTTCTCCTTTTCACACTGCAAATTTTGTTCATGTGTAAAAATTTAGTTGGATTAAATTTTATGATGTGTGAATAAAATAGTCTATGCATATATATAATAGAAATGATTTACAAATTCTCACAAACTTACTGTTTTAATATTAAACATTTTATGGGATGACTTTCAAAGTAGCTTTTTTGCTAACATTATGTGATAGACTTTATTTTGGAAATTACAGTCAAATGTTTTTTAGTAATGATTGTTTCAAAATGAGAACTTTTCTAGATTGTATTAGGAATTAACTTTAATACCATGCCATCTAGTGGTGTTTTTGATTGGAAAGCACCTTGTGTTTGAGTTAGCCTGAAGCTTCTATTATATGGAAGAAAACGTTTTAGAACCAAATTTTTATGTAATTAATCTTTTCTTCCTATTGATTTCATTAAAAAGTTGGTTCTTTGTTCCTGCTTAAAAGTAATGGCATCCTAAATTTCTGTGATGCTGACAGCATCAGGACGGGTGTTTTCTGCTTTGCTTCCCTCCCTTTCTTCCTAGAGCAGGGGCTCCAAGCATATGGTCATTTTTTTGTTTATTGCCCAATATTTACTTTTATATGATTCCAACCCTTCTGTGGGGGAATTATCAACTGAGACTGATTAGAGAGAGCCAGCCTTCCCAACTACCCATCTTGATGCTCCCACCATACAGTTGAACATGTGTTAAAAGGAGTGAGCGACCAGGATCTTCGACTTTGTGTATTGTTTTGAGTTTCTTAGGAGATCAAATCATGGTGGTATTTACATTTGTGCTGTCCGGAAAAGACAAAAGCCATTGCTCTGTTTTCCAGTTCAGGCTATTGAAGCATGTTCAGACACGTGGTAGAGGTTCATTCAGTGTGGCCAGTGGTTAAAACTGCAGACTCTGGAAAAGGGGGACTAAGACACAGTGTGATGGCTGATGCACTCGCTGCAGGATCCATTGGCTCTAACAAAGACATGGTTTTGCATTACTGAAGGCGAGTGTGACCAGCATTTAGGAAAATGCTTATGCTGTAGGTGCTGGTTCAGTGACAGTAGGAAAAGCAGTAGGGGGTGGCAGGAGGAGTGACTAAATAGTTCCGTAATTTGACTTAGTTTTTTAAAATATTGGATGCTTAGCACATAGATTCATTGAATTTCTAAGCGCGGCTATACTTGCATTAGGAATGCCATGTTCAGAGATATACTGATATTTTTATTGTGGTTAAAGGAAATTTTGTTTTCCCATGAGGAATCTGTAGTACAACAAGAAAGTTTATGCAACTGTTAAACTAGCGAACAATTTGTTTCTTCAGTGAGTTGAGGAGAAGAATTTGCAACATGAATTGGCAGTTTTGTGGGGTGTACAACATGATGCTCTGGTAATACTAGGAGTGGTCAGAAGTCATCAATCTTATAACATTTCTATTTCTAAAGAAAATCTCTGCATAGAAGTTTAAGTATTTGTGAATTATGGGTATATATATGGCATTAAATTTTGAGTGGTGTCAGTTTTTAGTAGTTATGTGGAAAACTCCAAGTTTACTTTATATTTGAAAATACAAATGTAAAACAAAACCAAACACAAATGTTCTCAATTCTGCCATGGCTTCATATTATTTTCTATAACGTTTCATTATTTAAAAGTGTTATAATTAGTACATTTTTATAATTTTTTTTCTCTCTCTTTCTTTTAGTTGGCACTTGGCAATGTAATAAGTGCATTGGGAGACAAGAGCAAGAGGGCCACGCATGTTCCCTATAGAGATTCTAAGCTGACAAGACTACTACAGGATTCTCTTGGGGGTAATAGGTATGCATAAGTATTTATCCTCCATATTCCTGAATTTCAGTTATTCATTATTTTTAAAATAAGTTTGTAAAGTGATTTATAAGAACTGTTTTTACTGTAAAGCAAATTAATAGGATGAGGAACTAATAATTATTAAGTGCCTCAAATGTGTGAGTGCTTTTGCATGTTGTTATTTCACATATTTCTTATAACACCTCTTGAGGTAGGTGTTATTATTCCTATTTTATAGATAAGGAAATTGAAATCCAGAAAGGTTAAGTAATTTATTCAGTCACTTAGCTTATAAATGAAATCCTTGGCATGTGCTCTTTCTCTATACCATTGTTTCAGTTTTAAGTGCTTGGCACATAGTTGATGCCTAATAAAATTTTGTTGAAAAGTAAATGCTGTCTTCTAAGTAATTAAAAAGTAATTTAAATATTATTGACTTTCTTTACAAAGTCTCCTAAAAATTAAACATTTTTTTACATTTGAGAAAAAATTTAAAAATGTTAATTGAATGAAATATAGGGTGATTGCTGGTTATTAACTTTGCCAGAATCACTGATATTCCTCCTTTTCTGTACTTTGCATCAACCTGATATGTTTTATCAGCTAAATGTATTCTTTTGGTAATGCATTCCTTTTTATAAGCATCAGAATGTTGGCTTTAAAAATGGTAACTCTTTTGGCATTTAAATTCAATCATAGCACAGTTCAACAAGTTACACACAACTACAGTGAATCTATTTTACAGTGTTTTCAACGGTCTAACATGTTTACTGATGCTATAAAATGATCATTAGGTGCTGTAAAATGATCATTAGATGCTGTAAAATTAAACTTGCAAACTTTCTTTTTGAACAACTATTATTCAAAGAATTTTGATAATGTTAAGTTTATTTAGGTCTGAAGTTGGATGGATTTAGAAATAAAGTTTTGTTTTATAGAATTCAAGAGTATCATTTTTATATTCCTTCTTTTCATATAATATTGGCCTTGTCTTACCTCATCTGTCTTCTAGCATATCCTTTGTATTGCTTCCACTGTTACATATTTCTTACTTCTGGTCTATATTTTCATTCTGACCTTCAATTTCAATCTGGGTCTTATTATAACAGGACAAAAATTTTTGTTTTTTAAGCCAAATATAAATTTTTAAAGTTTGCTAAATTGTAGCCTTTTCCTGTGTTTCTTAGCTTTATAATACAGCTTTGTCTTATAACAAAGCAGAGATAGTAAACATCTTCCCTTTACAAGTGTCAATACTTTTGAATACTTCAGTACTTCTGAGAGTTTGCTTACCCTGTAACAATCTAAGATATTTGCACTGTGGGTTTTGAATTGCTCTTGAGTTTTATCTAAGCTATAGCTAAAGAGTCTCAGATGTTCCTCACCCATTTCCTATCTAGTGGTAACGCCTCTTATTCTCAGTGACCCTCAATTCCTGCTTAAAATTGTGAGATTGAATGCCTAGTTCAAAAGCATTAAACTTTGTATAAGCATTGGAAAACAAAATTCCTTCATGTTGTGATGTTTGTACAAATTTCTCTTAAAAGAAAAATTAAAAGTATTTGTGGAAACAAGCTGCATATATTTATGGGTACAGTTTGGTGATTTTTTTTAAAAAAGCTGGCTTTTATACATTTATAATGTTTAATGTAATTTTTAAAAGTTTATAGCAAAAATTTAGAAAAATACAGAAAAATATAAAACATGATAAAAATCAACTGTATTTCTATTACTTGTAAGTGACTATTGTTAACATTGTGATGTATTTCCTCCCTAATGTGTAATATAATATGATATAACAATATATAAGATAAATAACTTTATTTGTTTGTTTATTTTGGCCATACCGCATGGCTTGTGGGATCTCAATTCCCCAACCAGGGACTGAACCCGGGCCACAGCAGTGAAAGTGCCAAATCCTAACTGTTAGACCACCAGGGAACTCCCTAATATATTTAAATTATATGGTTTCCTTTAAGATAGAGTTATGGTTTTATATAAAAATAAACTTTCATTAAAAATTTTTTTTCATAAACATAACTATTCTTTTTTTTTAAAATAAGTTTATTTATTTATTTTTGGCTGTGTTGGGTCTTCGTTTCTGTGCGAGGGCTTTCTCTAGTTGTGGCAAGCGGGGGCCACTCTTCATCGCGGTGCGCGGGCCTCTCACTGTCACGGCCTCTCTTGCTGTGGAGCACAGGCTCCAGACGCGCAGGCTCAGTACCCGTGGCTCACGGGCCCAGCCGCTGCGCGGCATGCGGGATCCTCCCGGACCAGGGCTCGAACCCGTGTCCGCTGCATCGGCAGGCAGACTCTCAACCACTGCACCACCAGGGAAGCCCCATAACTAGTCTTGAAATTTGTATCATTTGGGTTTTAATATGTGACCTTTTTCCTATACAGTAGGTCTTAGCTCCTTCTCATTCCTGATTTCACTATTCTTCTTAAGCACTTGATCCCAATACTTCTCAAAATATTTTTAATAAGGGAGAGTTCTCCTCCTTCCCACTTCCCAGTTGTAGTGGGTTGATATTGAACATGACTATACTCAGCTTGTCCCATTATGTGAGTTTGAAAATACTTGAACTGGTCTATACTGTATTCAGCGAAATGAGTTCATTGATTACAGCAAGCTCAAGTGTTGTAAAAGTTGCCAAAATGCTTACTCTCAATTTCTATACTTGTCATGAATCTGCCAGACTGGCACTGGACTGGGGATAACATTTTGAGTAGTCCTATCCTCTAATCAGTATCCATAATCATCACTCTCACTGGATTACTTTATCTTCTTCATCAACAGAGATGCATGAATTATCTTAACTTCTGACTTCAAATAAATAAATATAATATACGCATGACATACAAACAATTATTAGGGATCTAATATGTTCCAAGTAACACAAACAGTAATGACCTAATATGTTCCAAATACTGTGTTGTACAAAGTAGTCTGATGAATAAAAAGTATTTGATGATCCTTGTCCTCTAGGAATTTAGTATCTAAGAGTTTGGATCTATAAAATTTCAGTATAATCATAATCAACAAAAAAGAGGTATGCAAAAGGTATGAGGAAGCAGAGAGAATGAGTACAGCCAAACTCAGGGTTGGATTCTTGGACTAGATGATCTCTGAGTTGAATCTTGAATAATAGTAAAAGTAAGGGTAAATAAGGATGAGCAAGAGTTCACAAAGGAATAAAGATAGGTGGAATGGGACCCCTTTTAAAAGGGTTGCTATGAAGGGCATTATGCTAAGTGAAATAAGTTAGACAGAGAAAGACAAATACTGTATGATATCACTTATACGTGGAATCTAAAAAATACAACAAACTGTGAATATAACAAAAAAGAAGCAGACGCACAGGTATAGAGAACAAACTAGTGGTTACCAGTGGCGGGGAGGGGCAATACAGGGCTGGGGAAGTGGGAGGTACAAACCGCTGGATGTAAGATAGGCTCAAGGATATATTGTACAACATGAGGAATATAGCCAATATTTTGTAATAACTGTAAATGGAAAGTAACCTTCAAAAATTGTGTAAAGATTTTAAAAATTTTAAAAAATGAGACATTACTACACATCTAAAATGAGTAAAAATAAACCTTAACAATACTAAAAAGAAATAATAAGAAGAAAATAAAAGTATTACTCTGAGTGCTGTGTTGAGATTATTGGGAGAAGGCAGGAGTGGAAGCAGGAAGCTAGGAAGCTATAGATTAGAATTGATAGGTATAAATTTCCTACCAGGGTGGGTAAATTAGCTCCTTAACTGTTAGTGTGCATGTGCCCATTAGACTCTCCACATCTTTTTCATTGACAGAAATAGCTTAGGCATAATAAGCATTTTATTATCCTATTCTTCGGTTGGTAAAGCAATTCATCATGACGATAAAATAATGTTTCCCAGTTTTCCTATGTAATCTAGCCAGAAACTCTGGAACTTTGATCACTCAATCACAAATGGCATTTCATATTGTGAAACATACGGGTATACTAAATACTTTTCTTGATCAGGTGATAGGATTTTGTGTAAAACTTTTTGCTGAAATAAAAAATCAGGATGCAAGTGATTAAATAAAAAGAAAAATTTTAAATCCTAAAATAGGGACTTCCCTGGGGGCACAGTGGTTAAGAATCCGCCTGCCAGTGCAGGGGACACAGGTTAGAGCCCTTGTCCAGGAAGATTCCACATGCTGTGGAGCAACTACCCATGTGCCACACTACTGAGCCTGCACTCTAGAGGCCTCATGCCACAACTACTGAGCCTGCGTGCTGCAACTACTGAAGCCCTTATGCCTAGAGCCCGTGCTCCGCAACAAGAGAAGCCACTGCAATGAGAAGCCTGTGCACGCATGGAAGAGTAGCCCCCGGCTCTCCACAACTAGAGAAAGCCCGTGCACAGCAACGAAGAACCAAAGCAGCCAAAAATAAAAATTTTTAAAAAAAATCCTGAAATATTAAGTAGATAATGAAAGCAATGATTTTTGAATTTCAACATGTCATATTATAGATAGATTAAATTTTAGAATTATTCTGTGTATATTGCTTCAAAAAAATTTTTAAAGAGGTGAGAAATATATGCACTTGTATTATGAGTATATGGTATTATGAGTCAAAAAAGGATAATATAAATTAATTTTCCCCAATTTTAACCAAGCAAACAAAATCTTTTTCCTTAAGATAGTCTTAAAGCATTGGGGCTTATAAATTTGCTTTTAATTTTAAGTTAGTAATGTCAATCTTTTGGTATCTCGAAGGAGAGATATTATTCAAAAGGCGGGAATTTTAAACTGATTATTTCAGTGTTTTATTTGCTTTTATCTATAAACCTAATTATTTTTTGTAACTTTCAGCCAAACAATCATGATAGCATGTGTCAGCCCTTCAGACAGAGATTTTATGGAAACTTTAAATACCCTGAAATATGCCAATCGAGCTAGAAATATCAAGAACAAGGTGATGGTCAATCAGGACAGAGCTAGTCAGCAGATCAATGCGCTCCGTAGTGAGATCACACGACTTCAGATGGAGCTTATGGAGTACAAAACAGTAAGCTAATGGGTTTGACTTTGCATTTTGTGATACATTTTGTGTACACAATGATACCTTTTTGTGATGGCTTGCACATATATGTATCTGGAGTCTCTTTGTCATAGTGGTGGCATCTTTCCTTTTGGAGGTAGAATTCTCTAGTTTTATGTGTGGGTAGCCTTTAATAATGTTCAGTCTAACAACCTGACCAGCCTCTTCTTTCAAAATACTTCTTTCCCAGTCAGATTCTTTAGTGACAAATGCTCAAATGAGAGATGTAGTAGAAGGAAAAGGATCTCTTGCCTTGAGGCTGTTAAGACAAAAGTGCTCTTGGTTGTAGAATTGCATAATCCTGCAGTATCCTTTAACAAAACTCTTGTGTATTTAAAACTTCTCAATCAACAGGGAAATATTTTTCTTTTCTAGGGTAAAAGAATAATCGACGAGGAGGGTGTGGAAAGCATCAATGATATGTTTCATGAGAATGCTATGCTACAGACTGAAAATAACAACCTGCGTGTAAGAATTAAAGCCATGCAAGAGACGGTTGATGTATTGAGGACCAGAATCACACAGCTTGTTAGTGATCAGGCCAACCAAGTTCTTGCCAGAGCAGGTATGTGTGTAGGGTGGGATGAGTGAGGGATTACTTTTGGAGAGCAGGAAATTTTCTTCATGTTTGTTAACTTTGTGGAATATTTGAAGTGAAAAAGTCAATCTCTGTGTATACAATCTGTGATTTTAAGTTAATACTTAATTTGTAAATAATACATTCTTACAGAAACAAAATATGCCCTATGCTTCATCATATTATCTTACTTTCTGCTCATGTAATTAAGGGCAGGAAATTTGCTGTTTAAATTATGTTTCAAAGCATTATTGTTTGTTTCTATAACTTTGTTTTTTCTCTCATTCTGTTGAATTTTAAAGGAAATTCTTTTTTTAATTAATTTTTATTGGAGTATAGTTGATTTACAATGTTAGTTTCTGCTGTACAGCAAAGTGAATCAGTTATACATATACATATATTCACTCTTTTTTAGGTTCTTTTCCCATATAGGTCATTACAGAGTATTGAGTAGAGTTCCCTGTGCTATACAGTAGGTTCTTATTAGTTATCTATTTTTATATATAGTAGTGTGTGTGTGTCAATCCCAATCTCCCAATTTATCCCTCTCCCCCTTTGCTTATTTTATCTTGCAGGTGAAGGGAATGAGGAGATTAGTAATATGATTCACAATTATATTAAAGAAATTGAAGATCTCAGGTACAGTTCACGTTCTGTAATATATAATGCACGTATTTTGGGTTTTGCAGTGAAGTATTATTGCTATTTTGGGGGCTTATTTTGTAGTAACTATTCACAGTGATATTTCAGCCCTTTGGTCAGGTTAACTTTAGGGGAATAGGTACTTGCCTATAACAGAACATATGGGAACATAATGTCACAAACTACTTTCCTCTTCCCACATTATCTTCCTGGGGTATCCTCCTGCTCTTGTTGTTATACCCTTAATTGGAAGCTTACCTAACCTCATATAAAAACAGGCATAATTGGTGTCGATGAAGTTACCTCCCTGTGCCTCTTCACCCACCATTTGGGAATGGTCAACATCAATAAGTCATGTCTAATTTTTAAAATCTCCCATTACTCCTGTTCCCTTATACTTCTTCAGCTATTCTATATGTGTGAGTCATTGCATCCTTACCAATTTGCCTGCCTCTGTGATATATACAAAGGCTCATTCATCACCCACATTTCACACACATATTGCAAATACTCACTGTATGCCAAGCATCATGCCATGGACTGAACAAGTATGACATAAACAAAGAGTTCACAGTCTAGGTGGGTCAACTTACATAAATAGTCACATGTAGTAAATGGAATGACAGAAATCAGTAAATAGAACACCCATGCCTGGTGTGGTAATGTGGAGGGGACCACTGAGCACAGACTGGAAGAATTGGGGTCAGAAAGTAGATCAAGGACACTAATCATTTCTATAATATTTTCAGGTTCCATGGTTTGCCCTGATGGCTGAGCTGCTTTCTCTTTAAGTAGAACTACAGTCCGCTCCATTGGGAGCATCTAAATAGCTCAGATCTCACTTCTGTTATCCATTTGCAGAAAATAACCAAGTGAGAGATTATCTTTCACAGCTACCCTAACAATTCTCTGTCTTGTATTTGTGTTCTATTTCCCTCTCTCTTCCTCTGGCTATTCTAGAGATTCTTAAACAGAGATGAGTAGTGTTTCTACTGTTTCTGCCTCCATAAGGCACACCAGGTCCCTTAAAAGCTTCAAAAAGTAAAAGCCAGTGAGAAAACATCTGATGTAGCAATAGATAAAGTTAATCAAATAACTATTACTTTTATTCTGTTTATATATTTCCAAACTTTACCTTTTTGATGGAGACTTTTGGGACCTTAGGTTGTAGTTCTGGTCAGCTGCCAAACTGGACTTGCAGTTTCCATCTTGTGTTGGCAGTGCTCTTTCCTGCCTACTGCCAAAAACTTGTCCTCTGACCAGTCTCCAGTGTTTCCTGACTCTGTAGACCCCATCTTTACCATTACTTCAGACAAAACTAATATCTCTGTCTTTTAGTTCCTAAAGATTCTTTTCCTGCTCCTAGTCTGCTTCTTTTTATCTTTTTTTATTTTCTTGGCACTGGTCAATTGTTAAGGCTGATTCCATACTCTGCTTCTTGGGCTTGATTTCCTCTCTTCCATCATGTTATTCTAAGACCATATCTAAGCTTGATCTCATTATTTGGTGAATGGCTTGACTAGTGTCATTATTTCCTAGAAAACTGAATCATTTCCATTCCTTCTAGTAGCTAAAAGGAGCATCTAATATCTTTCTTCTTCAAGTTCTTGAGTTAAGACTATTCTTTAAGCCATCTAGAGAACAATGATGACTCTTAGGCCTTGAGTTCAGTCAGTGATCAAATCGTTCAGGGTATAGGTTAATAGATTTTTGGCTCTTTTATTCAGTTTGTCCCATTCATAAAGTGTAGTCTTCTCAGATCTCGGGACTGTAATTTATAATATAAAAATAATTTACATATGGGATAAACATAAATGAGCTTTGAATTTAAATTGAATTACCTGCATTGAAATTTTTAAGCTTCTGTTTATTCAGTATATGACCTTGGGCAAATTACCTAACTCTTTGATCTTTAGTGTTTATCTGTAAGAATGAGGTAATACCTGCTAGTCTCCAAGAGTTATTATGGGGCTCAAATAAAAGAACAGGATGTAAAAATTATTAAATTGAAAAATACTGTAAAGGTCTAACATATTATTATTTAGGTCCAAGTTCTCATATTCTGTTTCATCTACAAAATTCTACTCCAATCCATATTTTAATCAGTACTTTCTCTTAGGAAGACATTCATTCACAGCTACTTAAACTTAATGTAAATTATGTAAATGTATTGCTACATGGGAATGTTTATATTTTAAGTCTTATTTTAATTATAAAATAATACTAGTTACCTTTTAATAAATTTACACATCACATTATTTGTTGTGAAATGATAATAGTCACTAATTAATCTTAGTTTTATGGAGTTCAAAATTTTTGTAGAAATTTCTGAAAATATAGGAAAGTTTTTAAAAAGTTAAAATCATCCATATTCTCACCATTCCAAGAACTGATGTTAACATTTTGATGTATCTGTTCAATAATTTTTCAATGCATACTTTAGCAAAATTTGTATCGGGGTGTATGTATTGCTTTGCTATCTATTCTTTGAAATGTGACAACATATTAGGATCATTTTTTAATGTTATTAAATATTTTTCTAACATGGTTTTTGCATGGCTCCATGAGTACTGTCTCATGGGTTGTAATTGATTTATTTATCTAATCCCCTACTGTTAGATAATTATATTGTTTCCAATTTTTTGATAAGAATAGTTATTATTTGTTAAAAACATTATTAGTCAGGTGAGTTTTAAATTCATTGTATCATCATCCTCATAACCATCCTAGGGAAGTATATATTTTCATCTCCATTTAATGAAGGATTTAGAGATTCTGTGAGTGAAAAAAGCTGAGATGAGATTCAGTAAGTGAAAAGGCTGAGATGCAAGCCTCAGTTTATTTCTTCCCAAGGAAGTCTGTGTACTTCCCCTCATGCCTCACTGCTTGGTCTCCTATTAAATGAAATGCAGACAGCAACAAGTGTGTGATTGGGTGAGTAGGAAGAGAAGGAGAGGCAAAGAGAGAGATGTTATCTCTACAGCCCATACAAAAAGCAGGATCTACTAATGTAGTGTGAGGTTGGTGGAGTTGGAGGTGAGCCCTAAAGGTTTCAGCCTTTATTAGCACCAGGACGGAAGAAGCATTAAAAATATGCCCCTACCGAATGCAGATTTTTAAAATCAGGTAATAAACACAAATTGTCTGATTATTATATAAATGAGCCAATTAAAAACAGGTCATTAATTGATAGCTAATTTATATTTTCATTCATTTTTTTAAAAGGGTCTTTTTAAAAAAATTAATTAATTTATTTATTATTTGTATTTTTGGCTGTGTTGGGTTTTCGTTGCTGCGCGCAGGATTTTCTCTAGTTGTGGCGAGCGGGGCTACTCTTCATTGCGGTGCGCGGGCTGCTCATTGCAGTGGCTTCTCTTGCTGTGGAGCACGGGCTCTAGGCACGTGGGCTTCAGTAGTTGTAGCATACAGCCTCAGTAGTTGTGGTGTGCGGGCTCTAGAGCTCAGGCTCCGTAGTTGTGGCTCATGGGCTTAGTTGCTCCGCAGCATGTGGGATCTTCCCGGACCAGGGATCAAACCCGTGTCCCCTGCATTGGCAGGCAGATTCCTAACCACTGTGCCACCAGGGAAGTCCCCTTCATTCATTATTAACATTCATTATTATGTACCCAGGCTTTGTGCTAGATATTGGAAATACAGAAAAGTGTAAATTTTTACTTTGAGTTTTTATCATTAAGCTGCGTTTTTATACTTAGGTTGCCCTCTTATTAAAATATGACAGCATTATATTCAGAATTTTCTTTAAAATAATTTTGAAATCATTTAACTTAAAAGTTTGTATACAGCTATTTAACCATTTTAAAACATTGTAACTGTTGCAACACCAAATATAAAGTAAAACAATTTCATTAAAGAATATATAGGACACTTATTTGTAACATATATTCACTGATTTGTGTATATTCTGTCTCTAGTTGATTTCAACAGTGTCATGAATAATTTTGGTAGGCAGTGTAAAAACACAGCTGACTGTGCCTTCTACAGCTCAGTAGTTGCAAATAATCTAGCACCTTCCTCTGAAACATTTGAACATATGGCAAAAGTGCTTAGTAATGTAGTTTTGAGACAGAGATAGTAGGTAGTATTTTCTCCTTATAACCCTGTCTCAATCACCCTTGTGCCAAATTGACCTGGGAAATTTATTATACTGAAGTAGATAATTGTGTTCTTTTATGGTTTAAATCAAATGGACTAAAGGAACTGGCCTAGAGGACTCTCTGAATCCCTTGTAGTCTCAAGAATCCAGGCTCTTTTAGGATCTTATCATTCAGTGTTATTACTGACAGCACATACATTATTTTCCTGTCATTATGAGGACTGCTTGAGCAAACAAAAGAATGTTTTTAATTATCAAACTCGGGTTTCCTTGGAGATTTCATCTTTTCCCATGCCATATTCAGGAGCCAGATATCTTTCAGTCAGTTAGAGGCAAGTTTGACTAACTATTCCTTACAAAGATTTGGAAACGTTATTATAGCATGATGAATGAGGAACAGGAAGGAAGGGAACCATGCTGCTTGCACATTTTAAGTTTCAAAGATGAGTTTACAAAGCAAGGATAACTAGTGCCTATTGACCAGAATGCAAGTAATCTAATTATAACTGGCACTTTTGAGCACTAAGAGTGTTACTTCAAATTTACAGTTATTTGATCAGGAAATTTTAAAAATATCTTAAACACTAATGTTTGTGAACACATATGTTAAAAAAGCCGTACCTTGTAGCAATGTTGAAATACATTTTGGGAAACTTTTTAGCTTGCAAAACAACTCATTTAAAATGTTCCCTGTTTGTTCTTAGAGTTGTCAAGTTTGCAGAGATGGAAGGTAGAATGGTGGTTGCTAGGGACTGGGAGGAGAGGGGAATGAGGAGTTAGTGTTTAATGGGTACAGAGTTTTAATTGGAGAAGATGAAAAAGTTCTGAAGGTAGATGGTGGCAATGGTTGCACAACAGTGTGGGTATACTTTGTGCTGTAGAACTGTACACTTAGAGATGGTTAGGGAGGTAAATTTTATGTTAAGTATTATTTACCACAATAATAAAATGTTTCCAACTTAAGTGTATTTTTATTCATTAGGGCAAAATTATTAGAAAGTGAAGCAGTGAATGAGAACCTTCGAAAAAACTTGACAAGAGCCACAGCAAGATCACCGTACTTCAGTGGATCATCAGCTTTCTCTCCTACTATAGTATCCTCAGACAAAGAGACCATTGAGATTATAGATCTAGCTAAAAAGGATTTAGAGAAGCTGAAAAGGAAAGAAAAGAAGAAGAAAAAAAGGTAGTGCTATAAAATCACTGCTATACTGCTAATTACTTTTCAGGCTATTTTAATTTGCAATTGCAATGAGTATACATAGCCTCATAAGTATATTAATAAATAAAATGTCATTTAACATAGGTGACAATTATAATTATATACTTTTAAAGATTTATCTCTACTTGTATGTAAAAAATTTATTTATTTATAATAATATGGTAGTGAATTTTATTTAGACTATAAGGTAAAATTACTATTAGAAATTATTTTATGATTTTTTTCAAATAGCTGCTTTTGCATTCCATTCATCTTTTCTGCAAAGCTTGTTCTACCATTACTCAATATTTTCATTTTTTTTCCATTTTCTAATACAATTAAATAGTCTCATTGATATATTCTGCTTCCTGTCTAGATTAGTTTAACTAAAGGCTAAACTAATTCATCAGACTGTCGTTTAATATCATTTGGTCTCAAGTATTTTCTGCAGGCTCTAATTTGATTATGTGAAAGTTATTTATGTTATTTCAGGCTTTCTGACTCTTCCAACAAGGAGTTACTCAGCTTTTCACCACTGTTCTAGGCTTCCTTTTCCTTGCATCCTGGTAATATCTCCCTCTGAAATCAACTGGATGCAAAGAAGAGGAGGAAAATTAAAATATGACCACTTGTAATCTATGAGTGGTTAAAACCTCATAAATTGTTTATATGTTTACATACTGATTCTATGGTGCAGTCAAATTACTTACGTAGAATATATTTTGAACATGCCAGTCAAATTAATTTTAAGCATTTTTGGCTAGATATTCCAAAGGGGGAAAAGATATCTTATTTGTCAAATAACTTGTTATGGAGGTGCACTTTTTAGAATTACTATTGACATTTAGTCTACCTGCTGCTTTGCTCAGTTTATTTAGAAATTTATTTTGACAACCAAGCATTTCTTCTTTGAATAGTCAGTTGACCAAAGTTATTAGAGGTTTAAACTCTCCAAATTAATTCTGCTGTTTGTCCTTGAGTTAAAAAGGGCTGATTAGAATAATTAAAACAAGGAGTTGCACATCTATGGTTAGGAGGCATTGCAATTGAAATTGCATTCTTAAGATACTAATGTCTTAAAAGATGTTGCTCATGGATGGCTGATTATGGCAGCATTAAGAAATATATAATGATTAGTTCTTATGCAGGGCAATTAAAACTGTAACAGTGTTCACAGAATTATCAAAACTGGTTTGACCCAACATACTGTGGAAATGAAAATGAGACTTCTGCACATGACTTATCATTTATTTGTAAAATTCAGTTGTGTAGTTGGTCAAAATGTGAAATGGTATGACTTGTTTTTAACGGTGTGTAGGTGGTTTGTGTTCATGAATAATAAGTTAAGGATAAGCAAGGGTATATTTCTCAAGGTCATGAACTGATTCTGCTCTTTCCTTTTGAGGTAAATTTAGAGATGTTACCATAATCACCTGTTGGGAATGAATAATAAAAAACAGATAGGGATCCCAATAGAAACCTAGGCACTTTTGACCTTTTTATAGTGATCATAGGTACCCTAAATTTATACCTCTGATGTAGGTTATTTCTGTGACAATGCAGGGTTGTAAGGTTTTTGACTGATAAATAGTTCTATTTTACTCAGCTTGATAAAGCATTTCATTTATCACCAATAACTTTTAGCTGCATGTAATGTAAATTCCTTTCTTAAAAACATTGGTAAGCTCTCATTTTAGCCAAAGGGTTTGCTACAGTTGAAACAAAAAATAATAAAGAGTTGTTGAAACAAAACATAATAAAGTGTTTAGAATGACAGCAGCTTTACTGAAGTTAGTGATTAGTCTTCTACAGGAACTCTGTGGAGGGAGTAGCTTCTGTTTGGATGTATTGAATCTGGTTAAGTTGTATTACATGCCTCATATTTACTTATTTTATTTATCAAAGAGAACATTGCAAAATTTGGTTCTACCTCAACCTTGCATATATAGTAAGTTCAATTTAAAATCATTTGGAAATTGGAACTAATTTTTCTCTAGAAAGTGTTACAAGTACATAATGTCCAGGTTTCCCAACTCACTCACATGAAATGATATTTACTCATTCTATAGTGTGGTAAGAGCAATTCAAAAGGGAATAATAGGAAAAGGAAAATAGGGGAAAGAAACTTTGTTTCCGTTCCATGAATGTAGACCAACCTTTGGGGGAAAATATGAATTTCCGCCTTAGCCATTCTCTCTTATTCCTACCTACTGACCTTCTGTGTCCCCATGCTACCTTGATCCATTCCTCCCTTATGAGGTCAGTTCTCATGTAATTCTTCCCTAGCCCAAAGTACTCCCAGTTTCAAAATCATCTACTTTCTTCTCTCATCTCCTTAAGTTCAAAGTTGGAAACAAAGCCATCTGACTAGAGAAAGGAACTCATTTCAGTGGAAGTGACTTATAACTAATAAAATTTCTAGGGATATTTGTAATTTTGAAAGAGGAAGCATTAATCCAACTATTGAAAATTTGGGCAGCAACCTCATGAAGAAAAAAAATTAAATAGTGTAGGG